CAACAGGTGAAACAAAGTGCTTATGACAACTTACACCATGCCTTTTTCCAGCCTCGTGATGAACATGCTGGTACTGGACCTGAGGCCGGTCTGGCGGTGGGAATCCCTCCCGCAAGGACATTAACCCACCTGCATGCAACTGAGGTGCTTACTCGCAACTGCCCAGTGAGCGTCGACTGCCTCTGGCGACTTGAACAGGTGAATGCCATCGATGTCGAGGCCGACTGTTCCCCGGAATTCAGCAAGGATGGACTCCATCACCAAAGCAGTCTCCTGTAACACATAGGATATATTTTCGCCGTTGAGTGTTTAATCACATTACATTCACACATTTAACACATACATTTATTTTCAAAGCTGGATCTGACCGATACCGTAGTCCAGTACAGTTGAATCCATATGTGAATATGAAAACCACACTTACCACAACCCCACGGGTAATGCGCCTTACATACGACCTGATCTGATGTGGTTTGAGGAAGGCCATCATCTCCTCATCAGAGTACCTTCCGTAGAGCTCTGGGTTGCCGTTCCTGACTGCCTGAACCAGGAGCATCATATCCGCCTTGTTGTAGGCGAGCACGGCACCCGCCGTGGCACTCATGAAAGTCCCGTACTTGGCGTGGCTCTGCTTGATCACGACGGCGTCCCAGCGGTGCAGCCAGTGGCGGATGTCCAGCCTGATTACGGTACCCCTCTTCACCCAGTCACCAAACAGGTTCTCCAAAAACGATGAACCGCTGTCACTGAAAATGACATGATGACATTTTGTGTAGGTGTGTTACATGTTGGATTATCCATTTCATTTAGGTTTTAACTGCTATTGAACTCACCGACAGCAGTTGTTGTCCGTGTACACCACCTTTGGAGCAGGAGCATTGGCACGGCGAAAGCGGGCGACCAGACCTCTGGCCATGCGTACCTAGCACCCGTCAGACTCGGACGCCACCACCACTGTGGTCAAGAACTGACCCCACTCATTCAGCACGCTGGTGACGTACTGCATGGTGCCTTGGCCGTCGCCGTAGATCTTCTTGAGAATCTATATGAAACAAAGCAGAACATTCATTGCGTGGTGTTTATGAACAGTCAGTCTGTTCCATGTGATCACAAGTACTTTATGCTGTACATACCATCCTCGTGCCGTCGATGCACAAGATTGCCCCAGTCGTACCGAGGATTTGGTCCCTGTACATTGGCATCTTTTCCATCTCCAGGATCAGGTGCGCACGCCTCAGGATCCGAGCAGACGGAAGGGGAGACGGGGCGACGGGAGGGGTGGAAGTGCCGGCTGCTCTGGCAAACGACAGGATGCCTCTCTGAGATGAAGACGATCCAGCCGCCGACGTGTGGGCATCATAGAGGAGAGTCTGGTACAGGTCCCGACGCTCCACGTACCACTCGTCGTGGCCCTGCTGTAGCAGCCTCTGCACCTAGCTCATCGAGACAGCGCTGAGTCGGTCGCTCATCAGGGTAACCACACTCCTGTCCACAACACGCTTACCGTAGATTATGGCAGGGAACATGCTTCTGACGACCGGGGCGAGGTTCATCAGAATTTTCAAGCTTTACGCCAGCCAGGTGTACTGCTGCTGGGTACGGTGGGCGTTGTCCTCTTTGTCGTCGCTGTCGTCCATGTGTGCCTGGCTCAGCTCCTCTCTCAGCTGGAGACAGTGCTTGCACATCAACCTCTCGGTCAGCAGGGTGTAATGAAAATTCATGCCGCACACCTGCCTCGCGTAGCTGCCATACCCTTTCTTCTCCAGGTAGTACTCTGGCGGTGCGGGGCAGTTGGTGTTAGGGCAACGGATCAATGCCTTCATCACGCCAACCGGGCGCCAGAAAAAGGCAGGGGTGGTGAAGAAGAGGAGCAGGTCGGGCACAGCTCCCTTGACGGCCAAAGCAGGTGGGGGCAACTGGAACTCCATCTTCTCCTTAAAGAGCTTCCGCTCAGCCATCTCTCCCCTGACATTTTTGTACTTGGACGCCCTCTCGAACAGCCCGAAGGTCTCATTGGTCTTCAGCCACTTGATGTTGGCGGGGGCTATACCAAGGGCTTGGGCGGATTCAGGGGGCTGCTCCCAGAACTTCTGCCAGCCCTCCAGCACGATGCCACCGGGTTCCGAGGTCTCTCGGAGGGACGAGGGTCCGGGCCTGTCGTCCTTGCACACAGAGCTGGCGAGGTTTCCCTAGGTGGTCAGCTGCGTGCTGACCGACGCCTTGGACTCGTCCAGGACACTCTCTGAAGAGGAAAACACCACAAAAATGCATCAACTGCATTGCTCGACACATAATGATGAATTTCATGTGGAACAAACACAAGTCCTAGCAGCTCCACAGCATACTACAAAGTCATTTCATGTTCATTTCAGCATAATACAGAGCATACTACAAAGTCATTTCATGTTCATTTCAGCATAATACAGAGCATACTACAAAGTCATTTCATGTTCATTTCAGCATAATACAGAGCACACTACAAAGTCATTTCATGTTTATTTCAGCATAATACTACTATACCTGCAGCAGCCAACAACTCGGCATCGCTGGCGTAGTTGGGGTCCTGCTGAGAGAGGTCGGGGACGGTCAAAGGAGCCCGGTCTTTCTTTGATTGTGCTTTCTGCAGAAAATAAAACACAACCATAGATTCATCTCATAAAATAATGCTTTTACTAATACGGGTTGCTGCTTAACATCAATTACTCAGGTCTAAAAGGTAACATAGTTTATCTTACCTTCAACCTCCGGTCAAGGTGCCATGTAACAGGAGGGAACTCTCTGGCGTACTCGAGCAGCCACTCCTGCCACTCCAGCAGCTCGTTCCGCTCTCCCTGCTGGCAGAAGTAGAACAGCAACCACACCAGCCAGCCGACATCCTTTTCTAAAAGCCACCTGAAGGTCTGACCGGCGTACTTCCCGAAACACGATGACCAGCTGACCGTTCCACAGCTCACCCTCGGATCTCTTGGCAGCCATCTCTGCTGTCTTGCGATCCAGCCATGTAGGGTCAACAGCGGTGCTGGGGTCAGCGGTGCTGAGGGCCTCTGCCGCAGATTTTGGGGCCTCGGTACACTGCAGCCTGGCCTCTCCCTGCTGGTACAAAATTATGTTGGGGTACTGGTGTTGCTGTTGATGGCTGACCAGCGATGATTTGGTGGTCAAGCTCTTGCTGCAGACATCACAGTCAAAGGTCTCCCTGGCGACGGCATGGATCTTCAAATGCCTCCTCAGGTTGGATTTTTCAGGGAAAGTCTTGTCGCACACGCTGCACCGATGTCTGTGCGTCTCCACGTTTCATCTGGTACAGTAAAACATGAATAAATGAGTAAAACTAAAAGCAGATGACCCATCAGCTGTCGTAAAAGTAGTTTACACCCATTCATTCCCACTTACGGCCATTCATTCATCATGCTAATCGCGGTTGACATGTTTACACTTCTAAAGCATAATTTACACATCGGATTTCAACTCCACACTGTTGTAACATATTCTCTATGGTCTTAAGAAGTGAGCTAGAGTGTCTGATCACGTTCTTAAGGTATTTCCAGAGATCGTTAGGTCATTACAGTGGCGACAGGTATACCAGGTGCTGTAAGCTTTTACTTCCAGCTCTCTCGCGTTAAACTGAAACACACACTGGAATTTTGTTTTTTTATTAATCTTCAAACGTAATACTTTCTTTTCTTCATCGTGGCAGATACTAAGTCTGCGCTGCAAACACACACAATGCCTCGTTCATTCAATTCTTGATGCGCCTTTCTTTTACCGACGAAAAAATTCCCTATCTTTTTTCTCAACTGCTTTGGACGCTGAGCTGCTGGAAAGACCTGTGCTGGTAACTCGGCCGTTATTAAATCAAATAAAATCAAATTAGATAAAGTAAAATAAAAAATAACCGGGAAAAGGCATCACAATGTATATTCACTGTATGGAATTCCTTGGAATTCACCTCCAAATAAGAAGTTTGTTGAGACAGCGGAAGTCCATAAACACCGTTCACGAGGACAAGGAGACCACCAACAGCTCCCGGAAGTCTTTGGCGAGTTCATTCAAAGACACAATGGGAGGGACAGGAGTGGCATTTTTGCTTATTCATGACAAACAGATACATATATGGTAATTTCATCCACACTGTTGGTGGCATTTTCTATGGAGTAATTTATGCTCATGTTTAGTTATTATTTTTGGATGATTTTGGTTCTATGTTTTCATAGAATATTTATGATTGCAGTTTTACTAAGTTATTGCTTTGCTAATTTATAATTGATTTTAGTTTAATCTGCATTTATTTTAATGTTTAAAATGATCCTCACTAAATAGCCAATAGAAACTGACGCTGAGCGATAACGTTCTGAGCTCGCGCTTTTGTTGAATGTAAATTGACGTTTTTTTGTCTGTTTAGAATGTTCAGTAAAGACGGGGTGAACACACCGTTTTCTACCGTCGTTAAAACCATAACACGCGTAGACTCGTTCTTTCCGTCTGAAAGAGTGGTTATTTGCATTCGTCAAAGAGAAGAAATGGTCAACAGCCAAGAAAGGACACTTAGCCACTACATTAAGTAGAAAACGATCGCCGAGGACGAGAGAAGTATCGAAGGAAACTGACGTCACGCGCTCATGAAAAAAGCGAGCGGTTGGAGGAGGAAAGACTTCATGTTACTTTGTAACGGATCTCCAAAAACGGCTTCAATGATGATGGATGAGTAGAAAATTGTCAAATTTAAATGAACAAATAAGCAATGCTTCAGACTTGCAAGTGAAGACGAAAATTCATGATTGTTTAACTTTAATTGCCGACGCCAAGCTCAAAGTGTAAACTGTCAAGAAGCTATACATGACGGTTTGGGAAATTGCTATTGTTAGCAAGTCATATCAGCTCAGAAGAAGCTCACGCTAGCCTCTGGAAATTAAGCCTTGAATCTTACTTTGGAAAACTATATGTTTTAAGATTAAAGGAAATCTTATTTGGATTCCAGAAGTGTGCTAGAGTTTGCTGAGACTCATCTAACATAAATAGCAGTTCAGAATGTCTGATGGTGGAAGCAAGATGGAGGAAAATGTCAAGCTAAACACTAAAAGAAGGATCAAGCTAACTCCAAAGGTCCTAGAAGAGAAGCTTGATAGGCAAATGACTCTAAGAAAACGTGTTTTAGCATGCCTTGTCTCCAAATCAGAGAAAATTGAAAATTTAAAGAGTGATGATTCCAATGCACACATAGTAGAGAAGGATCACTTGAGAGAATACTCAAAATTGCTGAATGAGTTTATTGAAGTAAATAACACAGTAAGCGAACTGTTGTCAGAAGAAGAGAGAAAAGCTGACCAGCAGTATTGGAGTGAGCCTAATCTCACCAAGTATGAAAACCTTTTGTCCACATTGGAACAGTGGATAATAGAAGTAAAACAGGCAGCCACTAAACGTAAGGCTTCAGAGGATGTCGCCACACCACAGCAAGGTGAGTTTGCTGCCTACGAGCCCGCTGCCGAAGAAGTGCATCCATATGACAGTGTCTCCACGGTGCAACAGAAGCAAGCTTCAGTCATAGCACAAAGTGTATGCAGCAGACACTCAAAGGGATCCAATGTGTCATCGAACGCGTCATCTATGCGTAAGAGAGAGGAAGCTCGCCGAGCAGCTTTACTGGTGCGTGCAGAAGCGCTTGAGAAGAAAGAAGCACTGCAGTTGCAAGAGGCTCAAATAGAAGCGCAGCTTGCAGCACAGGAGGCGCAGCTGAAGTATCAGAAAATCCAGATGAGAGCTTAAATAGAGAAACTAGATTTCGAGACTGCTCTTGCAGAGTCCACAGCAAGGCTCCAGGTTATGGAAGAATATGATAACATGGAAGATGGGATGCATTCATACCTGAACACAAACATGCATGCAGCTACAACCATCCCAGGTCATGTTCCAGACATCAGACCAAAATCTACAAGCTATACTCGAACCATCCCAGATAACCTTACGCCTCATGTTCCAGCTAGGCACACGCCTCATGTACAAGTGACGAAAGAAAACGACGATGTTGCAAGCGCACGTCCTGGTGCAAGCACACATCCTAGTGCAAGGCAAGTTGAGCTCGGTGATGTGATCCTGAAACAGAAGGACATCACTGAGATGTTAGTCACACAACAAAGACTAGCCAACTTACCTCAACGCAAAGTCCCTGAATTCAGTGGTGATCCTCTTGAGTTCCTGCCGTTCGTGAGAGCTTTCGAGCACATCATTCACAATCGGACAGACAACGATGTAGATCGTCTGTATTATTTAGAACAATTCACCACAGGTGAGCCAAGAGAATTGGTGAGAAGTTGCCAACACATGAGTGCACAACAAGGTTATGAGGAAGCAAGAAAGCTCGTGACTTATCACTATGGCAACGAACAGAGAATAGCTGCAGCCTACGTTGACAAGGCCGTCAAATGGCCTCCAATCAAAGCAGAGGATGCTAAGTCGCTCCTCAGCTTCTCTATCTTTCTGACTGGGTGCAACAATGTGATAAACAACTTGGAGTACCTAGAGGAAATTAACAGCCCGAGCAACCTTCGGATCATTGTTCATAAGTTGCCCTTCAGGCTTCGGGAAAGATGGAGAGTCGTAGCTTTCGATCTCCAAGAGAAACAAAAAAGAAGAGTTGGCTTTGCTGATCTTGTATGCTACATCAACAGACAAGCTAAGATAGCTTCTGACCCACTGTTCGGTGATGTCAAAGATCCTGCTGATTCAAACGAAAGGTTCAAGTCCAGCGCTAAACCGGCAATGGGTCGACTGAAAAGCACCACTGGCCTCGCAACTAGCATAACGCCAGCAGATGAGTCCTTTGACTCAAGAAAGGCTAAGCAGACTAGCAATGCATTTCAAGACCCATGTCTGTATTGCAACAAAGGACATGCTCTGAGTGCATGCAATAAAATCAGAAGTCTGCCGAACAAAGAAAGAATTGAGTTTCTTAAAGGAAAAGGTTTTTGTTTCGGGTGTCTGAATCAAGGGCACGTGGGAAAAGATTGCAAAAAGAAAGCCACGTGTGAAATTTGCACCAAGAAACATCCTACTCTGCTCCACGTGAAGAGGGAGGAAGATGGCAACGAAGCAATTGCCGAGCCTGAGAAGTCAAGTGAAGGCTTCAGTAGTGAACACTTCTGCCCACAAGAGCATGTGTCATCCAGAGGTGAACTGTCAGCCGTCACCAGGGCCGGAGGCAACGACTGTATCCTTTCCATTGTGCCGGTGCGCATCAAATCCAAAAAGAGTAACAACACCATAGAAACGTATGCGTTCATGGACTGAGGAAGTTCAGCAAAGTTTTGCTCAGAAAGATTGATGAGGCGACTTGGTGTCAATGGCAAGAGTACTCAAGTGCTACTCCGTACAATGGGGCAGGAAAAGCCTGTGTCCTGCTTTGTCCTCTCAGGTCTAGAGGTGTGCAGTCTGACAGAAAGCAATTACATCAGCCTGCCAGATGTCTACACCCACAAGGACATGCCTGTAACAAAAGAGAATGTTCCCGTAGAGAAAGACCTGGAAAGATGGCCGTATCTGCAGAAGGAAGTGCGGCTACCACAGATCGACGCAGAAGTGGAGATGCTCATCGGAATGAATGCTCACTCTGCAATGGAGCCGTGGAAGATAATCCACAGTCAAAACGACGGGCCTTATGCCATAAAGACAACCCTTGGCTGGGTAGTAAATGGCCCTCTGAAGAAAGGGAATGACCACAAACCAAGTCACTTCAGTCATGGTGCTTCTGTCAACAGAGTGTCAGTCAGCAATGTGGACAGCATGCTGTTACAGCAGTACAACCACGACTTTCCGGAGCAAACCTGCGAAGAGAAGTCAGAAATGTCGTGAGAAGACATCCAATTCATGCAGTGTGCAACCAAGAAAATCGATGGACACTACTGCATTGGTATGCCTCTTATAAACAAAGACACTGTGATGCCAAACAACAAGAGTGTTGCTGAGCAACGAGCATCGAGCCTGAAAAGAAAACTTGCTAAAAACTCCAGCTTCCATGACGACTACACAGCTTTCGTGTCAGACCTGCTGGGCAAAGGCAACGCTGTGGAAGTCCCTGCCAACGAGCGCAACCGCAACGATGGCCGAGCTACCATGGCGGTGAAAATGGACATGCTCATGAAGCAAGAACTTCGGATGGACCTGAAGGAGATGCTTAGAAATCTGTGTAAACGAAGGAAGATCTTTAAGTCCCAAACCCAGTCTCAAAATAATCAAACTGTGAAACCCAAGCTCGTGGAAGATCACATGCAGAAGTGGAACCCATCTTACTGTCAAGAACATCAGGAGAGCAGAAGCTGCTATCATCCAGTTCCGCCGAAGACAAACCTCCCATGAGGGGCTTTGTGCACTGCGGAAGGGTGATAAGATCAAAAGAAGCAGTTTTATCGTGAGATTGGATCCGTTCCTCCAAGATGGTGTCCTCCGGGTTGGTGGAAGACTGCACCAGGCAGCTTTGCCGGAACACACAAGGCATCCGGCTATTCTAGCCAAGAACCATCATGTCACAACTCTGATCATCAGGAACGCACATGAAGAGACTGGACATGGAGGGAGAAACCACACCCTCGAGAAAGAGTCTGGATATGCAAAGGGAATGCAGCAGTGAGAAGTGTGCTTTCAAAGTGCGGGAACTGCCGAAAGAGTCAAGCTGCAGTTGGTGAACAGAAGATGGCAAATCTACCAACAGATCGGCTTCAGCCAGATCACCCACCGTTCACCAACAGCAGACCCCTTACCAAGTCATCGGATGATGACGATGACCTCGAGCCACTGACACCGAATCATCTTCTTCTGCTCTAGGGAAGGCCAGCACTCCCTCCAAGCACGTTTCAGAAAGAAGATCTGTACTGCAAACGAAGATGGAGGCAGGTGCAGTATATCTCCGACATCTTCTGGAAGCGCTGGTCTAGAGAATACTTGCCCCTCCTACAAGAACGGCAGAAGTGGCTGGAGAAGAGGAGAAATCTGAAAGAGGGGGCGTTGTGCTCATTGTGGATGAAAGGGCTCCAAGAGGGTCTTGGTTGATGGGAAAAGTGGAGAAGACCATCCCCGACGCCCAAGGGCTCGTTCGTCGGGTCCTCGTGAAAACGAAGACCAACACCCTTGAGAGACCCATTGACAAGTTGTGTCTCTTGTTGGAAACGGAAGAATCTCATGGACAATGAAAGACATTGCATTCAGTTAATTGTCTGCAAACTGATGTGACTTAAGTTAGTTCATGTTTAGACCTTAGGACATTTATGTAATGGGGATTTGAGTATAGAAAATGACTCTTTGGTTTATTCGAATTAGTGTAATTGTCATCCCCATGATGAGCAATTAGGGGCCGGAAATGTTGGTGCCATTTTCTATGGAGTAATTTATGCTCATGTTTAGTAATTATTTTTGGATGATTTTGGTTCTATGTTTTCATAGAATATTTATGATTGCAGTTTTACAAAGTTATTGCTTTGCTAATTTAAAATCGATTTTAGTTTAATCTGCATTTATTTTAATGTTTGAAAAGATCTTGACTAAATAGCCAATAGAAACTGACGCTGAGCGATAACGTTCTGAACTCGCGCTTTTGTTGAATGTAAACTGAAATTTTTGGTCTGTTTAGAATGTGCAGTAAAGACGGGGTGAATACACCGTTTTGTACCGTCGTTGAAACCTTAACACGCGTAGACTCGTTCTTTCCGTCTGAAAGAGTGGTTATTTGCATTCGTCAAAGAGAAGAAATGGTCACCAGCCAAGAAAGGACATTTAGCCACTACAAAGAGCTTCACAGTTTCTTCACCTGTTGTCTTGGGAAATGCTGGTAACTTACATAAAGTCCTTTTATGTTTGTATATTTAAGGAGATAAGTACAAAAGGGTTCCATTGTGACAAATGATGACACTTTGAAAATGTTTACATCCTGGTAAACACACACACACAAACACACACACACACACACACACACACACACAGCACCTTCAGTGCAAAGTACCAATCAAAAATAAATCCCTCTGATACATCTGTGTTTGAGTTTGACGAGAGTGTAAAGTGGTGAAAAAGCTTACAGCACCTGGTATTCCCAGGCGGTCTCCCATCCAAGTACTGACCAGACCCAACTCTGCTTAGCTTCCGAGATCAGACTAGATCAGGCGTGTTCAGGGTGGTGTGGCCGTAAGCGAAGGAAGCAGACACAAATACTCAATTTCTATCTGAACACACTGACGTTTGTGAGCTGCACAAGAGACACGTCTGGAGGTTTGGAAGGACGTTAAAGACGTTTAGAACGGGAATTGATAAAAAAACCTGTCAATTAACCCTAACCCAGGCGTCAATAATCCATTTTATATAACCTTTTTTCTACTCCTCCTTGTTGCGAAGTCATCCACTAATTCATCAAAATTAAGCTGTCTAAACAAGTCTGATACAATGATCAGAAGTGACAGGGAGTTCAAGCGGTTTTGGCACATCCTAATCCTGAGTTAATTCTTAATACGACTCAGTTTGGAGAATGAACGCTCCCCTTCACAGTTTGTAATAGGCACGGTCAAAAAAAGTTGAAGTGCTATGTAGACATTCGGAAAGGTTGACTGTAAATCCAAATCAATCGTGGTTTTGAGCATTTTACTTGGACATTTTTCTTTTTCTGATATGAATGATTTCAGTTCATCTGCCAGGCTCATGTTCAAATCTGAAGGGTATGCTGCAGCCAGTGAGTTAGCCTTTAAAGAGAGCTCGCTATTAGACATATTGTCAGGCATAAAAAGAACATCAAAGAGATCCGAAACTTATCCTTTCCTTTAAATGTTACACCTGGCTCCGCACTTTCATCACACATAATTTTGCGCTTCTTTGTGCGCTGGAGGTCATGCTGCCGCTTCAAACACCTCAAAATTATCTCTTTGTGCGGCCACAAAGTCTCGTAAAGACCAAAGAAGTTGTGTAGCTGTGCAAATTATCTATATCTTGCTTCCGCAACTGCAGGCTGGTGGCATGGAATCTCTGAAGTACTGTGTCCTAGAAGTGTGCCATGAAAGCCATCTCCAGTGTGTCCATTTTGTCACAGAGAGCAGAGGCTTCACTTCCAGTTTCACGTTTCTCCTCCATGTCTGTAGACATATCATTCAATGCCTCACTCAGTTGGGCATAATATTTCCAAAGAGCCTTAGTCGACTCAGCCCATGCGCTCCACCGAGTACCGGAAAGTGATTTCAGTGTAAGTTTTGTATCAGTATCACGGAAAACCTTTCCCCACCGGTGTGTAGATGATGCAAAAAAAGTGTACATTGCCTACACAAAGTAAAAAAAGCGTCCAGCTTCTGGGCTACTGTCCACAGGATTGACACCAACTAAATTCAATGAATGTGCTGCACAGGGGACATAGCAAATCAAAGGATTTCTTTGTTTAAGATGAGCTTGGACTCCATTGTACTTTCCTAACATGTTACTTGCATCATCATATAACTGGTCCCTACAGTTAGATAAATTTAGGCTTAGGTTCTCCACCATAGCAACTACACACTCAGCCAAACTACTCCCACTATGGTTTTCAATAGGCTCAAAAGCCAGAAAAAGCTCAACTACATGTCCGTTATTATCAACAAACCTGAAAATAAAAATGAGTTGGTCCACATTAGCAAGGTCTGGAGTGGAGTCAATAATAACAGAAAAGTATTTTGACTCTCTGATCTCATTAACAATTGCCTGCTTTGTTCTCTCTCCCATGAAATGGATAAATTCTTCACAGACTGTTGATGATAAGTAGGACACAGAGCCTTTTCCCTTACCTCCGAACTTTTGGAGGTCCTCAGCTAGGAGTGGGTCAAACTTGGCTAACAGTTCTATGATGCCCAAAAAATGAACATTGTGGGCTGATCCCAGAAGCTCATCATCTCCCCTGAAAGCGTGTCCCCTCTCTCCCAAAAACTGAATGACTGCAACAACTCTTTTCAAAACTTCCCGACAGTATTGTCTTTCTGCTTCAAGCTGTTTGACAATGTCAGAGTCAATTGTTACTGTTCCTCTGGAGCGATTATGTAATGCTAGCATGCATGTCCTATGCTCCACACTCCTCTCGTGCTCACCAATCCGCTCTGAATGTTTCCAGTCAGTAAATCCATTAACGGAAGTATTGTGCTTACTGGAAAACAGTTTGCAAGCAAAACAATACACACAGCCAGTTGACGGGGAGTGAAGTAGCCATTGCCTAGTCACAGTTTGCCCATTGGGAAGAGAGCAACTAAGTAAGGCATTTGTAAAGCTCCTACTGGTACCCCCAATGCTTCTATCCCTGACCGAGGCTGGGTGATTAGCACTTCTGTTTTGAAATGCAGTTACTCCTCTACTAACAAGAATCGACTTGGCTTGATCGGTAATGGTAAAGCAGGGTCGCTGAAAGTTTCACGCCAGGAGTTGGGGTCCATGGCCTCCTCAGTTGAAAAAAGATTCTCTGAGAATGCAGCTGACTGGTTAATTGTGGGTCTGACACAGCTGCAAGTTTAATTTGATCACGATCTTTCTGCTGCTGGTGGTCTTTGCTATCTGGGCAGGGCAGGCCTTCCTGTCCAGCACCTGACTGGGTCTGTATAGGTACATCACTGACAGGTGACACTAAACCAGCAGTGATCACATCTTCACCACTAGAACTCTGGTCACTAACATTAGCTGTAATATTCTCACTGATATCCAGCGGCTTATCAAAGAAATTTGAGATCAGAGGAATGTGTTTTAGAAAAACTGCCTGCTTTGCCTCCTTGATCTTTTTTGCTCTTCTTTTTGAGACACCACTTTTTTGTTAGGGGTCCATGTTATTAATGGCAAGTGTCTCTTAAGATGCTGATATAGAAACTTGTCTTGCAAATTCCTACGGTATATGTATATAATATGTAAATATGTGCTGTAAATATGTAAATATCCTATGTTGTTTTTATTTTGTATTGAGGTAAAAAAAAAAACTCAAAAGCGTGGAACAAGGAACAATGTTGGAATGTACTAATATAAAATGACCTAATAGCTATAAGATTAATTATGTGAGTTTTGTTAATTATGTGAGTTGCTAGTAAGCAACTTTACACAAGCCTTTAAAAAGGCGTTGAACCTTTCAAAGTCTTGATGTTATTACTACTAATTTAATATAATATATGATATACTATATAAATATGTAATATGATAATATGATATTGAAATATAAAGGGCAATTAGCCTTTAAAAAGGCTGTTGGTTTTTTATCTTGTAAACTACCAAGGATAAACTATAGTTTGTATTGAGTAGAGAGCAAGTTCTCGAGCTGAACTGTCTGAATGTGAGAAATTTTAATACTGGCAAGAGGTTTTGTATTCTCACTTGGATTTTCAAAAGTTCTCACAACACCTGATTGGCTCATTCATGTCCATGTCACTGGTCTGACAAAAATGGACTAATCAGAGTTAGATAAAGATTCATCTGGGGGTGTGGCAAAAAATGAACACAGCTGTACAGTTTGGGAGTAAAACCCCAAATATCTGTTTCCCTTACAAGACACTATCAAATTCTTCACCGGTAAATATTAAAACAAACCATTTACAGAATACAGGACAGGTCCCTGTAATAGATTCAGACCCCTTTTTCCTCACTTCATGCAAGTTGGACAGACAGTCTGACTGTATGATAAACAATAGGCATTAATGACATTTAATACACCTCATGTACGTTTTAGAATAATTTCTTTGTGCAGATCTGCCACCTTTTACATGAAATATCTCTGTAGGAGCTAATGTTGAAGGGCAGTTTAATCCCATCCATGAAGTTGACTTTTACCCCCAGCCACTCCTCCCCCTCTCTCACTCTCCCATGGGAATTTAGAGCAATGTAACAATTTTTGAACAATTAGTGAGAGAGTGGGGGAGGGGCAGCCACTATCTACTACAAAAAATGCATTCTGTGTGCATGTGTGTGACAGAGGCATGGAGAGGAAGACGGAGATGAGGGAATGTATTGAGTTGGCTATATTAAAAATGTTAATTGCAGTATTAAATTACGTTTTATCACTGTAAATACATATTAAGTGTGAGTGCTTTACAGCAGGCTTGTGAAACATGTTAGGTCCAAATAGTGAGGATAATAAGGAAAAAAACATTGAATAACAAGTTGAATAAAACATGTTTTCCAATAAAGATAATATCAGTGTTACAAACACACATACGCAGCCACAGCTACTACAATAAAACCACTTGTTGTTTCATCATCTGTCTCCAAATTACAATTGTGCTACTGGGTAGAATTGGCTTGTAATTCGGGTCTGTATGAAACAGCACTTTTGCATTCATGCCAGAGTTTAAAACGGTTGCTCTCTCTTTACTCCAATTTGGGTCTTGGACCCCCCCGGGGCCCCATCTGTGGGATAGATGGAGGAGGATTCCTTTGGAACACAAACAAAGGCTCAATCAAATCATTCTTGTGGTACACGTGGTTGCAGCACCTGGTATTCCCAGGCAGTCTCCCATCCAAGTACTGACCAGGCCCGACCCTGCTTAGCTTCCGA